AAAAACAAATCCACCACCATGAAAATAAAGAATTAATGGTTGATTAGAACATTTCCAATCATTTATTTTTTCATGTTGTATAGAATACATATTTATTTGCTTAGTATTATATTGAAATATATGATGTTGAACAAGACAAGATGATGATCTTGCTGGAAATAAAGCAGTTAAGATTCGTTTTGAATGATAACGAAACTCTTTAATATCATTAGTTGTTAAATTTTCACCTAAATGAAGTTGTGGATGATATAGTGCAATTAATTCATCTAATACTTTTGAATCTTCATCCATTGTTATTGATCCATGACATAGAAATGGCAAAAGTTTATTTCGAGAGGAAATCATTTTATGAAATATTGCTAGACGATGATGTTTTGTTAATGCTAAAAGATCTTTATCAACGAAATGTTTAAAAAATGATAAAACAATAGTGTATGCAATAATATAAGACAACCAATTGTTGAGCATTATTAATGAGTTGTATGGGAGTAATTAACGGTAAAGAAATCAATATAGTCAATAAATAAAATGAAACATTTTTCTTTCTTTCCTTTTATATCTAAACATGAGTCATCAAGGGCATAATATTGATTAAATCGATGTGACATGATCATGCATTCGATATGCATCATTCCCTATTGCATATAAGTCTTTTTTCCCACGTAGCACTGTTTAATAGATAAAATATGGTCACGACGATATTCGTTTTGCTTTTAATTATGTATGTTACTTAATGAAAGTTAAAAATACTGTTACATTGGAATATACAGAGAAAGAAAAATTGGTTTTCTTTTCTGCTTGCCATTGAGTATGATTAACAAACTGCACTCATTTGCGTTGCTTTAGTATAATATTAGCTGAACTGTTAGTTATTAATAAAATGATTCGAGGAGATAAAACAAGATTGAATGATTAATGTACTTCCTTAGATTAAACGGAATTAGGTCATATTCATATATTCATAAATGCGTAGTAAACCTTCATCAAGGAAGTGAATCATATGTCAGCAGTTGTTTCGTCCGTTTTTTTTTACGTTGAAATATTCAATAAGAGAAAAGAGTATTTTTATCCAAAAAAAAAAATAAGATGAATGATAACGACGATGCTTGAGTTTAATTATATTTTTTCGGCTATGTCCAAATTGCGAACAAAAATTAAGTCAATTAAGAAAAAAGTGTTCGCAATTTGGAACACAGAAAAGAACGTTGATCTTATTTTTATTGCGTTTCCAAATTGCGAACACTTTTAATAATTAAGTAATATAGTTTTACGAACATTATATAACGTTGATTTCCAAGTTTCGTATATTGGAATTGAACCAGCTGAACCATTCTCACGACGCTAAACCCAAGATACGCAATAATATATTTGAAATCAAAATAAAAAAAATTACTCACAAATGACTTCACTTCTTCTTCGTAAATTTTTCCCACAGGTCGATCAAAATCTGTTAATACTCTATACGTTTTAATCCGCATAGTACAACTTGAATATTTTCTGGTAATTTAAGACCATGATTATGATTCGAACCATTTGATTTGATAATTGCATTGTCTTTTAAAGTTATAGTACGAGAACAAGATTTGAAAGTACATATATACACAATTGAACCGTTCTTGTTTTCACGTCTCAACCCATATAAATGGTTATTATATAAGATAGCCTTTTCACCTCTTTCAGTAGTTGACCAAGTAAAATTTGTATTCATACTTTGAATTATGATACCATTCTTATTCTCAAACTTCTATATTTATATTATTAATAAAATTGAACTCATAATCAGCTATTGCAATAACTAATTAATCAAAGTGTTCGCAATTTGGAAACGCAATAGAAATGAGATCAACGTTATTTTCTGTGTTCAAAATTGCGAACACTTTTTTCTTAATTGACTTAATTTTTGTTCGCAATTTGGAAGCTACGTATTTTTTCATAGCAGTATCATTTGAACAGGAAAGCATAAAATATCCATGTATACTGTATTTTATATTTAACAACATATATTAAAATGTATTGAATCATTTAGCCATGTATTCAATGAAAAGAGAGATACTCTTTATCGTGAAAAAAATCTTACCTTGAAAGAGAAAATCAGATATAGAAAGCGAATGCTTTCAAACCTTGTGTAAAATATCTTCCAATTGTAATAAGTAGTTTCTTTGTAAAAAAAATGAATAATTTATCAAGTCTGTGATTTAAGTGATCAGTAAATTGAATGAGTTATTAGTCAACTACTTCAAAAATCAGTTGTCAATTGATTAAGTTTGTAACTTATATAAATTTAAGAATCAGTCAATACTGTTAATTGAGAGTAAATTAAATGAAAAGGTAATATTATTGCGTAGTTCAAATAGTTGACACACATATGAAAAAAAGAATTAATAGAAAATATTTCAAATTCTTCAATTATCCAATTCTACCGAAGTATTCAAATTAGCATTAACATCATTTATGAAGACATAGAATATGAACAAAAAACAAATCAATATTAAGTTTTATGAATTTTTTTCATAATGAATGACTCATAAAAAATAAGTCTTTGTATGAATATATACAAGTTAAACAGTTCCGATTGGTGAGAAAAGGAAATGAAGTAAATCAGCTAAGGATAAACCTGCTTTACTAATACAATAATTTCACTTTCTTTTTTTCTTTCTTAGTTTTTGAATTTCTATGAAATGTTCTTTCAGATTCTTTTCTGCTTTATAAAGATTTATTTTTCTCATACTATTGTATTTGTTATTAAAAGAAATTATAATTTTTTATTGTTACTTTTATATAATAAACTGATTATTTTATTATTAATTACTGATAATTTCAGTACTGATCATTTATATATATTTTTTTTTCTATCTTACTGCTCAAATGTTTCGTTCCCATTTGTAAACATTCCAGAATTAAAGTTAAATCCGCTAATCATATATGTAAAAGAGAAAACAATGATTAAATATTAATAAAGAAATATACATACACTACTACTAGTGATCTGAAAGTTATAAACATTATGTTTATAAAAATGTTATATAAAATATCTAAATGAATGTATCATAGTGATATGTATGAGGGAAAGTAAATGCATACACCTGTGATCGTAAAATTTATTAGAATCACATTAGATTTATCTGTATAATATTGATATAGGAAATCTAACAAAACAGATGGTTTCTTTTTCGATTTTCAAGCACAAAAGTTGTTGGTACAATCTCCGCGGGTATCAAGTTGAAAGACAATATAATTGTTGTTGCTTATCGCAACAAGATTGCTTTATTCTACCTATTTCGAAATATATATTGTGTACCATTCTTTTACTTAGTCCTTCACAAATAAAATAAGGATCTAGGTCATTTATTACAACGAAACGTTATTTATATATGGTCTTTGATTATTTATCAACAACGTCTGTGGTTGAAGCGGGAATTCAAATTTTTACCTCTATGCTTAAACACTTCTTTAAAATCGTGTTTCAAAAAATGTAATGAAAATCAATTGTAACATGTAAGATAATTGAATTGTAAGAAAAAATTTAATTACTCGAGCTGAATTTATTGACGGGTTATGATTAAGTATTGAAAAACTTATTACTTGGGAAAAAATACATGATTAACCAAGTTGGTCCGTTCTTCGTCTGTAATCATCGATATTTCTCTATTTTCGTTCGTGGTTATTGCATCACCATCGTCTGATTCAGGACTATCATAAGTTGGAGGAAGTTTTTGTTTTTTGGAAATATTTTCAACATTCAATGGATATGAATGACGTTGTCGTTTTTTCCAATAGATAATAAAAGTTGGGATTCCAAGTGTTAATACAATAAAAGTTAATATAAGATAGTTAAATTTATTATGTAATGAATTTATTTTTATAGCATCTTTTTTTGTTTCTGATAATACTGATAGACTAAGAACGAACAATTTCTCCTATAAATAACATTAAAATCAATATTATTTTCTACCTACGAGAATGTTGAACTTAAAATTGATTTTTTTTCAATATCAGATACTTCGTTATTTTTCTTATTGTTGTTTAATGTAAAAGATTCAATTGTGAATGATTTAGTTGTTTGTTGACGATGATCTAGAGATGAAAAGATTTTCTTGTAGTACCCTTGGCAAATAATGATCAATCAAAATGTTTACAAAATACTGAAGAACTTAAATGGAAAAACTCAAAACTCCTTGTTTAATAAATATATCAAAAGAATTATTGTTTTAAATTTAGAAGACGATTTAATACCGTTATTTTGATTTTCAAATTTTTTCAATAGTGCAGTACGAGCTTTATTAAGCCGTTGTGTTGCTTCTGTAGCACCAGGGGCATTTATTTTATCAGGATGCACAAGTAAAGTTAATTTTCTATGAGCATTAATAATTTTATCTCGTGTTGCGTCTTTATTAATGTTAAGAATACCATAATAATCATTTTCGTTTTTGAAAAGTATTCGTTTTATTTCAGCAATATCTTGTTGAGTGTATCCTTTGTTAGTTTCACTTTTTGATTGTTTTTCATTAGGATTTCGAGAGAATAAACTGTTATTATTTAGTTTAGTGTTTGGTTGATTGTTTTTCAACAATTGTTCAGTATTCCATTGTGATTTGGATGATTTACGATGGAAAAATCGTTTTATTCTTTGATTAGAATTTTTAGTTAAAAAAGAACGTTCGTTTTGATGACTATTATTAATTGAAGCATAGATCAAGATCAGTAGTAAAAGAAAGAATCGAGCGAGAAGCATTGTTTTTTGTAGTTCAAGACAAAAAAAAAATTCAAAAAAAAATAATACATGCGCCAATTTTTCAATAAGTTAAATAAGCTTTAGTTTAAATTTTATACAATTGTTCTTATGATTTAGATATACGCAATTCAATCCTTTTCTGAAATCTATATCATGCATTTTTTGATTAATACTACAGATAAATGATAGAGCGGCTAATCAAAGTTGTCTGTCATATCTCCAAAATTTGACTTGAGCGTGCAACGTATAAGATGTGATGCATAGTTTTTCTTTTAAATGAAGTATAGAAGCAGGTACACAATTATTAGATACTGATCTAATGGAAGAATCTTTCCAGAAATCAAAGCGCTTTTTGACCTAGACGATGTTCGTTGAATGATTATTAGTAAGTTATAGAAAAGTCTGGAATGATTTCAGTTTTCAGATCTTCATTCTCGAAATATCGAAATTTTACTAAGCTTTAAAAAAATACTGTGATTCTCACCTCCCATCACATGAAAAGTCGACTTGCCAGTTTTAACTTTTCTCGTATTTCCTGTCTGCAGATCTAAATTTTTGCACATTAAAGATTTTAGAATATTCTATATTTCGAAGTAGAAATTACTAGAAAAATTACAAGTTACCAACGAACTTATCTGATTGAGAACTTTGTGTGTGAAAAACTTCAAAGCTGAAACTCAAAAGTCGATTATTCATGTAATCTAAAGGAATCATAACTTTTTGTTGAAAAGTTCAGTAAAATTTCAGTATCTGAAGAACGCAAGCTCGGAAAACCAAACCATTCTAGACTTTTCTATTACTCGTATTATGCCAACTCGATCTAAAACTTTAAAAAAATTTCAATAACACATATATGAAGTTAAATTTAAATTAAAAAGTAAAAGAAGGTTACTACTATTCATTTTTTTTTCTACCTTATCAAATAGATAAAGTATAACGGATAGGTCATACTGAATGGGACAACATGGTTTTATTTTTTGCAGTATTTGACAACATAGAAAAATATTTTTTCATCAATTAAGATAACTAGTATGATTGATAAGAAATGTTCAAAAATATACTTTAGAATAAGTAAGTGACGAACATGTAAGATAACGATAAGACAATTAACAATAACCGGACAAGACCTTTTTTAAATATTCAATATTTAAGAAAATGCTTCTTTTTTTATATTCTATAAAAAATGTTTTATAGATCTTTAAAAATAAAAATACACATCTATGTTATAAAGAATATTTCATAATGTCTGCTTAGACAACAATTAGATATCTTATAGTATAGATCTCATCCTTATTGTATATTGTACAAAGATTTTCAACTAACAAATTTCGATCACATTGTAAGTCAAGAAAAAATAATTGATTAAATGAAACAACTTTTCAAATATATGTGGCTATAAGTTTTACAGTACAATATGGTTTTCTTGGATACATTAATCTTTCAATATCAAATAATTTTGACAATACAGACAACTGTCAGATATATACAATTTCCTAGAAGTTCAAATTCACGATCATGTCATAAATAAAAATAATAAAAGAAGTTCTTCACGGACAAATAGAAGAAAAAAAACAAAAGAGTATTTAATTTAGTTTATTATAATCCAACAACCCATATAAATATTTTCAGGATAGAAGTACGCTTCTTTATGCATCTAAAGGCACTCTTTGTATTAAACGCAGCTGAACGCGTTTAGAAGCAATGTAGACACGTTTGAATGAGTTCATATCCGAAAAGCATTTCCTCTATTTGAATATAAATTCATTCGGTCGATGCTAAAATGAAACATTTGATGCATCAAATGCTTCATTTCAGTTGCATCCGATCGGATCTAACTTACATTTAATTTTTACATGGAAATCATTCTATATGATTTCACTTATAATATTCTATTCATAGAAACACTAGGTAATGTTGTTGGAAAACTTTACAGAAAGTTTTTTTTCTTTTTCAACTGAAATCCCAGATATAATCATATTCATAGATTTACTTTCATCTGTAGTAAATTTTGATATTGAATGATAGTAGTCAATTTGATTGGTATTCATAAAATAGAAAAACCGAACCAAACAGAATTAGAACAAAACAGTGCGATTGTCAACTAAGTAGTGTGTATAACTAAGATACGACGAAAACAGATCATTATACATCAACAAAAATGTTTTAGGTTTATTAATCTCATTTCAATAAAATTGTTCAATCGATGATATTATCTTCATTGTTTTTCATTTTGACTCATTCGATATACCAACAGACGACCTTGTTGAAGCTAATAAGTCTACTATTTCCATCATGGTTAACTGAGTACAAATAATTTTTACGACATTCAAAAGCGTCGATAAGAGTTCATTTTCCTATATCGAGATTTGAAACATGATCGACATGCTCTGGCAGTTATTATGTTACTAATTCCAATTAATAGAGTTCTAGTAATAATAAATTCTTTGTTTCTACTTTCTTAATATATTAAATTTCTCTCATACGGATAAGACGTATAATAAGAAAAGTGACTCGTAGTGATTTGATGTCTGAACAGATGACTACTATTTTTTGATAATCGTACTATATCATATTAAAATTTTGATAGAAATCTTCATTTATACTCAAAAATCTTAATATTTAATTATGACATTAAAGTTTAGTCTATAATACAAACATCTCAATATAAGTCATGAAAACATAGACAATTCGTTCGATTCAATAAATAATATGTTCTTGTGGTCTGAACTGTCATATTCGTGATAAATTAATTTCTCAAAGAATATATATATATATACTCTGCCGGAAGTATCAAATATAATTTCTATTTTGCAGTAATAATAATTTATAGGATGTATTTCTTTATTGAATTTCATGTGGGTGTCAACGTCCTCCGAAGACAATATTTAGAAATCTTTATTAGAATAATTCATATAAATTCTCTAGGAAAAATATTTTACTAAATAAATAATAATATTAAATTTTTTCAGAAAGATTTTTATATTGTAATGAACAATTACATCATTCGAATATCAATTCATAATATTTTTAATGGATTAAGTACAATAACTGTTTTATTCATAAAGAAAAGTAACCAAAAATATTAAAAATAGAAATATAACTTATTATTATTATTTTTTATATGAATCTATAATAAGTCATGAGTCAAATTTATTGTAGTAAACAAATGAAAAAAATTTTCAGATTTGAGAATGTAGAAAAAGAATGAAAATTACAAATGTGATTGATAGTGTTACTAAATAATGAGAACTTAGAATTATGAATATTCCTATAATCTACTTCCGGACATACTCTTTTTTTCTTTTCTTCTTTCAATACATGTAATTGATGATTTTGATTTTATATCTTCCTCTTCTCTAGTGTGTGCCGATTCTTCTGATCGTCATACCTATACAGATGTTTGAGTTCAAAAAAAGCAAGAAAAAAAGAAATGTAGTTAATTATTTAAGTTGTGATGCATGTTTTCTTTTGGTTATATCTTCTCTTTGATTTCCTCATTATTTTTTGAATAGAAATATTGACCATCAGATTATATATCATTTTTTCTTTTCATCTCAATATCCCATATAGATGGCAAAAAGAAAAACTTTTTTGTCAATAATTAAGACGCCAATTGTTCAAAATTTATATATTAATGAATAACTGTAAAATGAGTGAAACTACCTAGTGACTTCATATGATAGTGAGTGCATAATTGGAAGATGATTTTGTTTTTTTCAAGGATTCCTTGTGTGCTTATCATATTTTGCAAAACTAATGATAATCATTGAAGACAAGGAAATAGAGGAAATTATTAAAGAAAAATAATTTTGGAAAAAATAAAAATAAAAACATGCTAGAATTATAAACAGTTTTGCCTACATGTAAATTATTTATTTTAAAATTATCTACCGGATAAAATATTCTACTGTCTTATTGACATAAGACACAATATGAAATAATCTGATCGAAAATTTCTTTTAATATGTCAATTAATTAATTTTTTAGTAGGTCAAATAATATTTTTAGTTAAAATGTAACTTTGTTTAGTAAATAATTCTATAATAATACACTTAATAAAGATATTAAAAAAACAACAAATTTCATTTCTCAACAAGAAAATTTACAAAAGAAATCCCAGCTTGATTATATACTCGATCAATGAGCTATTATCGTGATACGAGAAAACAGGAAAACAAGTCAATTATCATCGCTTTGAATGTATTACAAGGTGTGATTGGAGATATTTCATTACCCTGGATAGTTTCTTTTACATTTCTCTTGATAATTATGGTTCCCAATGAAGTTTAAAATTTTCAAGTGTTAAGAGTAAAAGCACAATAAGAAATCAATTGAAAAGAAAAACAAAGTATTTTTTTTTTGCAGTATTTTAGTTATATCTTGTTTGAATATTAAATTATTTTGTTTTTATGGTTATACTAAAATTCTGATATTCATTATAGAAATGAACAAAACAGTATCCATCGTTAGCAACTCATTGAATTAAAGAAAAGAAAAAACAAACAGATAGTCGTTCGTGTTGTTTCAACTTTAAGATGGAAAAGAATCTTATTTGATCATATCGAAATACAATAATCTCGGAGACAACAAAAATAATCTATCAAAAATAAATAAATCACTTTCCTATAAAATTAAGTTAGAACATATACATTGATCTAGATAATCATTTATTAATATTGAAAACAAATAGATATAATATATTGGATAAAATAAATATGAAAATAATGGAACAAAAAAAAAATGAAAATATCCTATTTGAATAATATCAATGAGTACAAAAAGAATTTCTTTAGTTTGTTTTTTGCTATAAAATAAACGTTACTATTCTAGGTCAATATGTTTCAATGAGTATTTTATTTTGGCTATAATAATAAAATGGTATTTATATTACATTCCAGTTATTTGATTTTCTTTATGCAGATTGATAAAAGATCAATATTAATTTTTGTTTTAAATATTCTATTATTCAATCTTTTATGATGTCTAGAAATTTTGCTAAC